GCTATTCCAAATATCCTACTATATCTGGAATAACAGAATAACAGAGTTGGAAGGGACCTTGGAAGTCTTCTAGTCCAACCCCCTGCTTAGGCAGGAAACCCTACGCCACTTCAGACAAATGGTTATCCAATCTCTTCTTAAAAACTTGCAATTTTGGACCATTCACAACTTCTGGCGGCAAGTTGTTTCACTGATTAATTGTTCTAACTGTCAGGAAATTTCTCCTTAGTTCTAAGTTGCTTCTCTCCTTGATTAGTTTCCACCCATTGCTTCTTGTACTGCCCTCGGGTGCTTTGGAGAATAGCTTGACTCTCTCTTCTTTGTGGCAGCCCCTGAGATATTGGAACATTGCTACCTGGTCCTTCTTTTCATTAAACTAGACATACCCAGTTCCTGCAACCATTCTTCATATGTTTTAGCCTCCAGTCCCCTAATCATCTTTGTTGCTCTTCTCTGCACTCTTTTCAGAATCTCCACATCTTTCTTACATCATGGCGATCAAAACTGAATGCAGTATTCCAAGTGTGGCCTTACCAAGGCATTAACATTTCACATCATCTTGATTCTATCCCTCTGTTTATGCAATCTAGAACTGTGTTGGCTTTTTCGGCAGCTGCTGCACACTGCTGGCTCATATTTAAATACAATGCTATATTTAGAAGCTGGCATGATCCACTGGCATCTAGGGTCTGCATATGTTGACTCTATGTCTGATTCAAGCTTTGATAAAAACCTTGACCATCACTATCCTTCTAGTTATTGCTACTTTTTTCTAGAAAACCAACATCCAGAAGGATCATGTCAGTGAGGCTTCTAATGTACAGCTCTACTAGAGCTGCAATCTGATAGCAGGTGTTTGATACCCCCTCTCAGGACAAACTAGGAGATCAATATTGCCAAGATATACACAGGAAACCCTTCAGACCAACTAATTAACTATTCAATATTAACTGCTAAAAACTGTTTCTTAGTTTGCTTTAATGTCTTGCCATCTGAATATTGAAGTTATAACAATATTCCTTTTAAAGTGCAAACTTTTCCCCATGAGCTGAAAGAATCTACGATTCTAGTCCACATACTCCTTTGTTATCTTTTCTATAGCAATGTGCATCATACCCTCATAACTTTGCTTGCAATAAGTTTGAACTCTTCTATGGTGAATTTCTCCAGAAGAGTTGCATGATCTCCTTCAGTTGCCACAGCTTTACAAAGAAAAACTTTTCTCTGAATTTAAAATCTTATAAATATGTAAACTATTTTTATGATTTCTATGCTATGTTCTTCTGTTACATCTCACTGGTCAGAACCACAACAAAGAAAATACACACATAAACATATCTATTCATTTAGTAGTTTAATAATTTTAATATTTTAGTATTTTATTCACAAAATAGTTTTATAATTTAGTTTTAATACTCTACTACTTCGTACTTAAAGTGTCTTGAAGTTTGAAGCATTTTATTTCTATTAATATTATTAAATATTCTATTTATAAGTCTTATTTAGATATCTCTATATCTAAATTTGAGCTTTGTAAAAATTACAAATATATAAAATGCTAGTTAATGACAATAATAAATGCATTATTACTCTATAATAGATTTTGAAATGTACTCAACTCCTGTACCTTTGTTCTGAATAAAAACTATAGCAGAATTGGGGGGAAAACTGTGAGTGATAGAGTTTCTATAATACCCAACATTTTAAGAATATTATAGTTTACATTATGCATAGGCAACATTTCTTGTTCTAAGATGTGTGCCAATTGTGTGGTTGGATTCAGGAAAAAATACTCACATATATCATGTGCATACTATTCTTTTTGTAGAAAGATTGCTGGGAGATATAAAGAAACCCTGATGGTATTATTGGCAAAAAGAGGGATCAGTGAAAAACTCAGATAAATTTTTACAGGCCTCCAAAAGCTGCATCAAGACATGAATATTTCTTGAAAGTTGCATGGTAACTGCAGGCAGTATGACTATATAAAACTGTGAGTTGACAATTTGTGTATTAGAAGCATTGATGCTTTAATGTAATCTGTTCTCATCATGTGCTACTTGGATTCTTATAATCTAATACAGAGGGGAAATCTATGGCCCTCCAGATATTTTTGGATGACACATCCAATAAACTCTGACTTTTAGTTATGCTGGCTAGATTTGACAGGAATAGCCTTCCATACTTTTCTCATGAACCATACAAGCAAGGGGGATATCATACAGGGCTTTCTAGGCATAGAAAGGTGAATGAATTGTCTGAGTTTTGTAAATTTTAAAATCTTAATCTGAACTTTAATGTTCCAAACAACAGATACAAAAATATTCTGTACCAGTAACTGAAAAACATTAAAACTTTGATGCATTGCTTTTTTTAAAATAGCAGAAATGATTTTGAGCCCCAAAGCATTTTGTTTCTGATGAATGCCAAGCAGTGCAAATGAATGATTATCCTGTCAATCTGGTGCAAAGTGTCTGATATTTGTTGCTTAACTTCAGAATGAAAAATAGGACCTGTCTTTAGAAGGTTTTATCTATCCTCTAGAAATGATGACTGGGATTATAGTAGTTGAAGTTCAACATATGAAGGGGATCAACATAATGGAGAAGGCTGCTTTAGACAAGCATGTGTTCTAAGTGTTACAAAAAGTTCTAGAATTCTTTGTTGAATTGCTTCTGTCATATCCTCATCTATCCTAGCTTGTTATTTCCAGAAAGAAGTACTAGGCAAATTCATAAGATCACTGCAAATAAACACCTGTACACTCCATAAACAAATTGAACAAAGGCCAGGATGACCAGTACTGAAAAACTCTGAGATCTGTAGTTCAGCAACTGGATGATCACCAATGTTTTACGGTGAGTTAGAAATGGGTGGAGAACATATATAATAGATTATGTTTTTGATAGCATTCAAAAGGTTTATAATTTAGGGACATTGATGTATTAAATATAGCTATTGTGTAAAAGAAATGACATTTGTATTTTGGCTTTTTTTAAAAAAATATTATTATTAAATTAATTTGCTATTCATCTTGCTACAAGGACTCTTTTATAAGCATGCTGCAACCTTTGAACTAATCTTTATTCTTACTAGTGTACATCACAACATTTATGTTACATCCATTGGTTAGCCTTTTCTCCAGAAATTCATAGCAATTTACATAGGGAGTTTCAGTTCATGTTTCCTACCATTAGAAAGCTGTTGGTGTATTCAGGAGAGAAGCTAATATCAATCAGTGAGTTTCCATAAGTGAGGATGTATCAGCAAATGAATTCCAGTCTGCCCATGAAATAATGTTCACTTTCTTCTGGAAGAGGGCCATTTCAAAAATAGTTCAATTGTATCCTGAAAATAAACCTTTTGGAGCAGGAATCAGTTCAAAGTGTTCTGAATACAAACTACAATTGGAACACTGAAAACTATTTTCTGTTCAAAAAAAAAAAATATCTATTAGACCATCCCTGGAGTCAGTAGATTAGAAACTGTAGTGACACAGTGTTTATAGTGCAGTATTGCAGGCTAACTCGTCCAGAGCCAGGAGTTCGATCCTGACTGGCTCAAGGTTGAATCAGCCTTTCCTTCTTCTAAGGTCGGTAAAATAAGGACCCATTATGGGGGGAAATATGCTGACTCTGTAAATTACTTAGAGAGTGCTGTAAAGCACTATGAAGTGACATATAAATCTAAATGCTATTTCTATTGGTAGATTAGTACATAATTGAGAAAAAAAAGATTTTGAATAGCCCTACTTATAACATCATTTAAAAAATCTGCATATATTTTATTTCATTTCCTGAATTTTATTTTTTCCTCACATATATGTTATGTCATAATTATACTACAGTCTATAATTAGGGAACATGTAACCTGTATGCACCTGCTCTCCCCATATCTAAAGACAGTCTGTCAATTGAATAGTTACTGAATCAGGAATGAAATGATACCAGTTTGCTCTGGTTCGGGCAAACCGGTAGTGATGGTGGTGGGTAGAGAACCAGTAGTGGTGGCAGCGCGAGGCTCCACCCACCTGCCCAGACGTCATTAGCTCCTGGTTTGAACCAGGAAGTAATCTGTTTTTTTATGCTTTGTGCATGCACAGAAGGTCCAAAATTGCACTTGATGTGCACACATGGCGCACGCACTTCCAAACCAGTAGAGAAGGTAAGTAGATTTCACCCCTGCACTGAATGTCCATTTTTCTAAATGTAAAGATGGAAATCCTTTATATTTAACATTCTATTAGCTTGGTATTTTATATTTAATAATAAATGAACAATACAATTACCATAAATATCTATTTATATTGTTTGAACCGTTAGCAGGAGAGTATTGTCATAACCTTGAAAATGGAATGAAAGAGCAATTAAATAAACATTAGTTGAGCCCTGAATAAGAAAAAGAGGTCAGAAAGATGCTCAAGATAATCTCCCTGAATTCTTTTTAGTCTGAAAAGAAGCAGGGGAAATGCTGTCAGGCTTTTCAGATTCTGTTAATATATCCTACAACAATAAAACAGAATTCTAATAGTCTTTTCAGTGTATGTTTTTAATCTGGCATAATTTAAGAGACTGATCATTACATTACCCACAACTAAAGAAAACATGGATGTAACAGAAAATATTTTTTAAACATTGGAAAAGGGAAAACCAATAACTGTAGTGTACCACATTTATTTTGCCATGAATTATCAATACAAATAAAAAACAGAGAAATTAAATTATTAGATATATTGAGGTATAGATAATTTAGTTCTCGATATTAAGATAAGCATTTTGAGAATATATTAGATGTTCCTTTATTAAAAACAGGAAAAACAATTGTACTCTTATCACTTTTTGTCAATGAAGGTTTGTTTCGTTTTGAAAATATGGTCAATATTCTTGATTTTTTAACAAAGAGGATTTCCCCATAGTATTAAATTATTTCCTAGTTAGGTACCATTTTGATAACTGGGAGGCAATTCTATCATAAAAATATGCTATGATGTGTAGACATACCTGAATAAAGATATATTCATCCTGGACAACAAGTGAACTTGTATCAATGGAGTGCAAAAAAGGTCCATTCCTGGTGGTCTCTGAACATTCTTGAATCCTACAAGTTATATAATGGGCATCTGTATGGGAAAGATAACCTTGTATGAAAAAATGTTGACCGATCATTTGTTATGGAGTAAGTAAAGCAAATATTCATCTTTTGCCATGGCCAACTTCGTATTCCTATTTTTTCATGTTGACCATTCTATTCTATGCCATTCTATTGCCTATTTCTGAAATCACTGTTTTGTTTCTTCTGCTTTTAAGCTCCCAATTAGGTGCCTGAGCAATACATCCATATTATTTTTTAAAAAAATTCATTTTTAGGTGAAGGTGAAAAGTAAATTCCCAGCTCCTTTTTTAATTAAAAAGTCTTACTGAAATTTTGCTGGATAAGGCCTGGGAATAGAAGTAGGGTTAATTTGCTTTAACAGATAAATGAGGTGGTGAGAGATTCTTTTTTCCTCTTCACTGAACAGTGACAGATTTTGGTACTCTTAAGCATAAGCATTTATTTAACTATTTTTACCTTGCAAGAACTATAAAGTGCTCCAAAGCAGTCTAAGAAACTCCAGAAGGTAATCCTTTTTCTGATGCCACTTTAACCTAGCCAAACTACTTTACTATGTCCACTGTATTCATCTGCTAAAGCCTGTTACTTATGATAGGTTAACAGGACTTCATTCTATCTGATCTTCTCCAAAATCCAATAGGAGCAAAATGTGCTCTTTTATTCACATCACAATTTTGGGTGTATTTCATTTCAATTCCTATTCTCAATCATTCATGATTTTGTTTTGTCCTCAGTTAAAGTACAATGCAATGTTACAATACAATTAATGGTTTTTCATGCATTTCATTTATGCTGAATATCCACGCTTCTTATCCACAAAAGCAAAAATTGTATCTATATAGTCTTTCACTGTTCATTGTTTAAGTTCAGAGACTTTCCATCTTCTAGGAAAGAAATATCTCTAACTCCACCTATACATTGTAGTGCCCATCAAAAGATACTATAACAAGATTTAACACCATCATTCTGACTGATTCTTCATTATTCTAAAATGCTAACGATAAACATATTTTTAAATTGCATTAGTTGTCAGCAGTTTGTTGAGTTCAACTATGCAGATTATGATTTTCCTGAGGAATCTAGCTACATAATCATAAAAGTCTGAGCAGCAAACATACACAGTTTAATTATATGATTAAAAACAGTACATTTAAAAATTATTTTTTTGGATATTTTGATGGTCAGTCTATAAAGCAAAGTGTCATTACAAATACATAGCAATTGAATTGTATTTCTTTTTGATCTTATAAGAATTAGGCATTACAATAACCAGATTAACTCAGACTGGATCCTATTACAAGAATAACTAATAATTAATTGCTCACTCAATATAATAGTGTCTGAGAAAAATTTACTATTTATATATCAGTACATACATACATGCATACACACATCCATATATACCACTCCAGCAATTAGCTAGGTATTAAAAAGGTAATTTCTAGAGTTTATGGAACTATCCACATATGTTATCCATAGTTAATCAGTTATGATATAAAAACTTTTTTTCTACAATAAGAATTTGTTTAGCATAGATTCATAAAATGTGACTCAAAGGTTTAAGCATTGAACTAATAGAGACTGGACTGAATTTGGATTTGTTATCAATAATATATTGAAATATTCCATATTATATAGGAAATTATCATTTTGACATATTTTCGCTAATAATCTAATATAACGATACCTCCTTAAGTTTCACAGGAACATAGGATTCTACTTCCTCAGGTTTCGTATCCATCTTTCTTCCTCATTTAAGCTTATATCCTTATCTCATCTATTCATTCAGGAATATATATACCTGCATATATTTTGTCAATATAGTATAATGAAACAGTGTGTAAACATCCTTCAGACATGCAAACATCCAGCTATAGTCATAAAAGCAATCTAGCATCCGTTTCCTAGTGCAAATGCAACATGTAAGTCTGCAGGAAACAACAAATAAGGGAATAAAAGTGGCCATGTCTAATAAACAATCAGATTCAAAAAGGAAATGAAAGGGGCCACTTCCTGGAGCTCAGAATCCATGAAGCAAATAAGAACCATTTTACCAAACAAAGAGGCAGAAAAGAGATCAGCTCTTAGCCACCAATGAACCACATTTTTTTCTCTTCCAACATAAAAAAACCATCAGAGCAATGGGAATGGTGTTTTGAGCTCTATGATTAAAAAAGAAAATCCTGAAAAGGCACATATGTAGAAGACAACTGGTATATTAAACAATTATTGAAATAAAGGATTAAGCTGTTTTATAAGAGAGAAATATAAGTGTTATAGAGGAAAGCAAAATTAAATACTACATAAAGATTAAACGAAAAAATAGCTCTTTGGTTCCCGGTGCGGTGTTATGGCGGTAGGAAAGAACAAGCGCCTCACCAAAGGAGGGTAGAAAGGTGCCAAGAAGAAAGTGGTGGACCCTTTTTTTAAAGAAAGACTGGTATGATCTCAAGGCTCCAGCAATGTTCAATATTCAAAACATTGGAAAGACGTTAGTTACCAGGACTCAGGGAACAAAAATTGCCTCTGATGGACTGAAAGGCCGTGTATTTGAAGTAAGCCTTGCTGACCTACAGAATGATGAAGTTGCCTTCTGTAAATTCAAGCTGATTACAGAGGATGTCCAGGGGAAAAACTGCCTGACAAACTTTCATGGCATGGATCTCACACGGGATAAAATGTGTTCAATGGTTAAGAAATGGCAGACTATAATTGAAGCCCACATCGATGTCAAAACAACAGATGGGTATCTTCTACGCCTTTTCTGTGTTGGTTTCACCAAGAAAAGAACCAACCAGATTCGCAAGACTTCCTATGCTCAGCACCAACAGGTCCGCCAAATCCGCAAAAAAATGGTGGAAATCATGACACGTGAAGTACAAACAAATGACTTAAAAGAAGTTGTAAATAAACTGATTCCAGACAGCATTGGTAAAGACATTAAAAAGGCATGTCAATCAATCTACCCCCTTCATGATGTCTATGTTCACAAAGTTAAAATGCTCAAGAAGCCCAAGTTTGAACTGGACAAATTGATGGAGCTGCACGGTGAAGATGGTGGTGCTGGAAAACCATCTGGTAATGAAACTGGTGCCAAAGTAGAATGAGCTGACAGATATGAGCCCCCTTCTATGTGGAAGAATCTGTTTAAAATCAGACACAAAATAAAAGACTTCATATATATATATATATATAAAAAGATTAAATGAAAAAATAGATTCCATTAAGTAAGCAGGATTGCCTGTTTTATATTTTATAGTATTTATAATATTTAATATGTATCTCATTTATAAATAATATGTATATCATAGTGTGTATATATATATATATATATATATATATATATATATATATATATATATAATATTTATATTATTTATATATTTATATTAATTTATAATATAAATTGCTTTATATTGTGCAGAGTATTACAGTTCTAACATTGAAGCAAATAATTTCAGAGTGAGATGGATGAATCAATTTTCTGTAGAACAAGTCCTGTATTTCCATTTCAAGCAAATTTTTCATTATGCAAAATTTCAGATTTTCATGGAGTGCTCCCAGTTTACATATGCAATAATAGGTCATGAGGTCTAAATGAAGGAATTCGTTTTGCCCATGCCCAAGATTTAAACTTCATCTGAATATTCTTTAGAATTTGGACTTTTAACCAGTCTTATTTTTCTGTGATGCTTACACAATAATTACATTCCACCTATGTTGCAAGACGCTGAATTTAGATGGAGGAGACTCAATTCAAGATTTGCCATTATCAGAAAGTTACCATCTTTCTGTGCAATCCAACCGATCTGAAAGGGATGTTGTTATATGGATAAAATGAAGTTACATGTCCAGAAGTTTGAGCTACTAAAGAGTAGGGAGGATATGAATATAATGTATCATAAAAAAGAGCCATGTTTGTCTATGGTGACAAAAATCTGAAGGCATCTGGTAGCACCTTTTCCATTTAGCAAATTTTATCAAAAGACATAAGTGTTTGTGAGGTGTTTGTGAGGTGTGGCTCGTATCATAAGATGCAAAGAGTGGTTTGGCTTTTATAGGACTTAAACTGGGAGGAGGTGGGGTGGGTGAAAGGAAGAGTAAGAAAGATTGATTGTGGAGATACAGGTTACATGTGATACAAATTAAAAGTACCTCTTCAGTTAACAATTATAATATGTTAGAAAGCCCCTCTGAGATTGTCTGACTCTTTTCGATGTGAGTTCAACAATTTCTTTCTCAATAGTCCTGTAAAAACCTCATTTTTCCAAAGTGATTACTTTGAGAGCTTTCACAGAGTATCATGAGAGTTTGAAATGATCTGATATTACTTTGTCCTTGTTCTGAGTCCTGATGTTAAGTTTCTCTCCATTACTTCTTTGGCACAATTTTTTTCCCTATTTGTCCTATGTAGAATTCAAACATTGCTAGGAGATGATGATAATTTATTCCATTAGATATAGAAAGGCAAAGGTACCTAAAATATTGTGTATACTTGCTAAGGCCTGTGATTAAGTTGTTGATGTAGATATGGGGTCAAAAGAGACATTTTTGATTTTGCAGGTTCTGATTCTCATGTTGGCATAAATGTGTAAACTGCTTGTTGTTGCTTGTGTGAATCTAGTACCAGTTGGTTGGGTGGTTCTCTGGATACAAGTGGAGCTTTGCCTCCAAGTGCCTGAGGAAATGTAATGTTATTGCCCAATAGGATTTGTAGCTTATTAGTAATATGCTGAGTGTTTTGAGCTGTCAACTGTAGCTGACACCCAGGAGTATTCTGTTCTTCATCTATAATGTGTATGTAAGCTTAATGCATATGATGGATTGATGATGGTTGTATGTTTTCATTTTGTTATGTATCTTTTCCACCCCCTGGGGAACTTGTCTATTGGGTCTTTCCATCACAAGATGAATAACATTCCCTCCTATTAAGAATTGACATTCTAGTGATTCGCTAATAGTTTTATTGTGATTTTATCTGTTACATTCATTATTGTTGCTTTTTAT